TCAGAGGTTATCTTTGAGGTTATCTTTGAGATGATTTCGGGGCTTTAGTGTCCCCGCGGCCCGGTCTTCGACCAGGCCTCCACCCCTAGGAAGCAACCCGTAACAGCTGACTAATACCCAGGTACCTATTTTACTGCTAGGTAACAGGGGCATAGGGTGAAAGAAACTCTGCCCAATGTTTCTCGCCGGCGCCTGGGATCGAACCCAGGACCACAGGATCACAAGTCCAGCGTGCTGTCCGCTCGGCCGACCGGCTCCCTGCAACAGAGCCTGCAACAGCGTCATGACGTTGGTGGTCTTACTGTTATGTACAAGGCTAACATTCTCAAAGTTCCGCACCTGGCCCAAGTCCGTGGACTACCCGTAACACTAGGCCTTCAACCTTCAACAGTCTCATGCTGGACGTGCCTTTCTCACTCCATCAACGACCATTCATTTATAAACTGAATGGCATCTGCAACTTGTTCACTCAACAGGTTGGTACACGGGAGATCAGGTCAAGTGATCACATGAAGACTCTGGCACACAGCTGGCAGTAAGTATACTAAAGTATACTTACTGGTTGGTCACTGTGTATGGTGACCTTAATCACTCTCCAGAGGTTAAATGGTGTTAACCCCAACACCAAACCAAGAACCACTTACACAGGAAGCATAATTTACGTTGTCGGGGACAGGAAGCCCTTATTTTCGGTCATCAAGGTCTCCCCCCCCCCACACCCTAGACTAACTACTCATCTTCCCCAGGAAGCAACCCGCAACACTTACCGAACTCCCGTTACCTATTTAAACTACCGGTGGTCAACAGAGGCATTAGGTGAAAGGAAATGCTGCCAAACCGTTTCTGTCCCCACACAGGGGATACAGGGGAGAGAGCCGGTCGGCCGAGCGGACAGCACGCTGGATTTGTGATCCTGTGGTCCTGGGTTCAATCCCAGGCGCCGGCGAGAAACATTGGGCAAAGTTTCTTTCACCCTATGTTCCTGTTACATAGCAGTAAAATAGGTACCTGGGTGTTAATCAGCTGTCACGGGCTGCTTCCTGGGGGTGGAAGCCTGGTCAAGGACCGGGCCGCGGTGACACTAAAGCCCCGAAATCATCTCAAGATAACCTCAAGATAACACAGGAATTGAACATGATCCCGGTCCTCGTATCCCAGTTCCTTCTCTCAAATTGCTTTCAAGCGCCATATATCCATACTGACTTGGCGCTTTTCCCTTATAAATTACCTTATCTACCTCGATTGTCAGGCAAGAACGTAGACCACTGCGCCACAGAAGCTATAAATGATCACCCAAGGACCACCTTACCAAACTTACGAGAAACATTTGTGGGAAATTACACCAGGGAGGAATCCACTTAACACATTCTTAGCTGCTTTAAAAAGTTTAATTCAGCCTTAAGTTATTACGAATGAATTTGGTCTCGAGTGGTTGTTCTTAAGAGTCAATTTCTCGGGGTTTATGTCTGTTAATGGAGGGGTGATCGCAAGTAATGGGTGGTGGGAGATGGTTGTGGGAGCGGCAAGTGCTCCCATGGTAACTGTCAGTGCTCATTATCATCTTCTTCTGTCCTCTTACCTCTCCCACTTTTTTATTCGTGTCCCACTATCCACCACTCCTGACCCGCCAAACACACTGAAACTACGACGTTGGTACAACGTTCGAACAAGTTTTAACACCTAACTAGTTATAACAACCAATATAGCAAGTTGTAACAACGTTCTAATACGTCATAAACACATTAAGCCAATATGTAACAACTTTATTACAAGTTGTAACAAGCGGAAAATAAGGACAGTTACGGTTTGTGTTTCCAGGGGGAGAGAGAGAGAGAGAGAGAGAGAGAGAGAGAGAGAGAGAGAGAGAGAGAGAGAGAGAGAGAGAGAGAGAGAGAGAGAGAGAGAGAGAGAGAGAGAGAGAGTATGCACACTTAAGTCCTGCATACTTAATAAAATGAAGCACAGACCATGAATTTAACATCATATCAAGTATTCATCACAATCCTTTATTGATCGAAACTATGCATTAAAACTATGCATTCTATATCAGAAGGGTGTCGGTAGCGCAGTTGGGCTCGTTCCAGACTCACAACCAGGAATTCCGTGTTCGAATTCCCGGCGAGACAGAAATGGCAGTGCACGTTTCCTTTCACCTAATGCCTTTGTTCACCGAGAAGTAAATAGGTACCAGGGAGTTAGTCAGCTGGTTGTGGAGTTGCACCCTTTTGGTATTTCGACCTATGGGGGGATCCTCGATATAAGCCTAACGTGTATGAATACACTCTAGTTGCCTGTTCCTCGACACAATGAATTACCGTTAGGTAAATATAATATATATTTTTAGGCAGTTTCTCAGCTAAATATCCCTATAAGCATTATTAAACGAATTAGTTATTATTATTTAAGTCAGCCCTTCGTGCGTTTTCTCTTTTAAATAGAAAATACGAAGTTACTAATAAATCCTTGAAGGCTAACTATTTCAAAGAGTTTATTAACATGCATCCTTAATTTACTACATATATACGTAGATATACGCATATATTATATATACATATATATATATATATATATATATATATATATATATATATATATATATATATATATATATATATATATATATATATATATATATATTATCTTACAAGACATTAAGATGTCATATAACAATATTGGTATTTAATTTATATTCCTGCAAAGAAGAAAGCTCGCCCCCTTCATGTCACCTCGATAGTCTAAGATGGAATACAACTATAGAAGCCCATATAAACCGCCAAGATGATGACTTTCTCGACTATCTTCGAAGAGACTATGACAAAGCGAGAGAGGAATTACAAAATACCTCCCGAGGGAGTTAACACTATATGAAGGCATGGAAGCCTCATGGTAAAATTTCACAAAGGGGTCATCAATGACCTTTTGATGACACACAGTAAAAGAGGAAATACAAAGTAAAGAGAAAATGTCCACTAATAAAGCACAATATCTGAAAGAAGGATCACTCGAATCACAAGAAATACAGAAGCCCAATAAATTCAGTTACCCAGGAAATTAGATCACCCCCAAAAGACTATGAAAGAAAACGTGTTCAAAACATTGAGATGTAAAGTCATTTTATATCTATATAAGTAAAACCAAAACAAGACTCGGTAGGATCCTTAAAAGACGAAACCAACTAAGTTATTTTTGACGATAAAAAGGCATCGAACACTGAATAATACTTTACATCAGTGTTCCCACGGTATTTATTTACAAGAACGTACAATGGGTTTGTGAGATTACATAATATTGATATTTTTTTTACATTTTTGCAAAGCCACTAACACGCATAGCGTTTCGAAGAGGAACGCTATCAAGATTTTTTGTGTATCTTTATTTAATAAAATACAATATAAATCATATATACATAAATTTTACAAGGCAATACTACATTACATATACAGTAGTATAATTCTCAGTAAACATCTCAGTAAAAAATTCTTTTTAAGAAAAAGTAATTTGCTTAATTTGTAAAAATTAAGCAAATTGTCAGTAAAAAAAAAGTTTTAGAAAACATCCCAATGCCCACACAAATGCGCGAAGCTGAGGAAAAGAATGAATTAAAGAATATCTCTATAAGGTGGGGAGAAAATCGGAAAGAATAATAACAAATTAGAATAATCTAAACCCCAAGAATCTCCGTAGTACAGTTAGGTTAGTTCTCGATTTAAAATCTGGAATTCCGGGCTCGAATCCCGGTCGAGACAGAAATGATTGGGCACCTTTTCTATCACCGACTACCTCTGCTCACCTAGCAGTAAATATGTACCCTGCAGCTTGTCTACTGTTATGGAAATGCATCCTGGGGAGGGTCAGTAATTTGACATTGAGAGGGGGGGGAGGGAGGAGCATTTTGATGTAAGCCTAACGTGTATGCATAAGCAAGCTACCTGTCCCTGACAAAATGAACTAATATTATTAAGATGTGGATGGAATTCAATCCAAAATAATACAAGAGCTAGCCACTGTGTCTACCCTGAAACTCCTGTTTAGAAAATCTGTGAAACGTGGGAAAATCCTCCTGGATAGGATATATGCAAATATCGTTCCTATCTTCAAAAACCCTTCATCCTCTATATAGGGTTTCTGAGGCTTCCACTGAAACCTAATCAGGGTTTCATACAATCCCCCCTCGCCCCCCCCCATGGTGTAGTGCCCTATGGAAAGATTCACGAAGAAAGTTACGCAAGCACTTACGAACCTGTTCATCTTTATTCAATCTTTGGGGGCTTTGTTTACATTTATTTTTTTAAATAAATGTAAACTAATACATTTATTTGTTTACATTACAGTTTACAAGCAAGAAAACTTCCCACTCAATTTTTGTTATTGTTATAAACAGCCTTCTGGTGCTTCGGAGCTCATGAACTGTATAATAATTATAAACAAAGCGCCAAAGATTGAGGAAAGATGTACAGGTTCGTAAGTGCTTGTGTAACTGCTTCGTGAAATTGGGCCCCAGGCTCGTAATAGAGGAGACAGGGAGGGAGGGGAGAGAGAGAGAGAGAGAGAGAGAGAGAGAGAGAGAGAGAGAGAGAGAGAGAGAGAGAGAGAGAGAGAGAGAGAGAGAGAGAGAGAGAGAGAGAGAGAGAGAGAGAGAGAGAAATCGGTTTGTTAGGCAACTTTGCCTAATAGGTACACACACACATGTGGAGTTTTCAGTTATCAAATCAAATCAAATGTTTATTCAGTTAAAAGTACATACATAGAAGATTAGTTACAAACATAATGTTGAATTTATAGATAGACCTAGTATATACAATAGCTAAAGCCACTAGTATATATATATATATATATATATATATATATATATATATATATATATATATATATATATATATATATATATATATATATATATATATCAGTGTAGGGCCACTGGGCCCGGGTGAAGGTGCCTGGCAACCCTCCTGGCTGCCTGCCTGGCCCCAGTCACAGGCTTCAGTCCGCTCCCAGACACCACCGCGCCACCATGTTAACGCTCCTCTCTCTCTACAGTGCTTTCTAACATTCTCAAATCATCAATTAAAACTGACGAAAACTGGCAAAATTAAAATGTCTAAGTGTTCACCATTAAATTCAATTGAATGGTTATCAAATGCGATGTAATTGCAGAGACAAGATTTTGTAACTGTAAGTTGGAAAAAAAAACGTGTTCATATTGTGTTTGGCGAGAATGGGGGTTAACTGTGCTTCGACGGTGAGGCAGCTGCAGTGAAAAAGATATGGTAAGTTCTCAACGTATTTTTTAGTAAGTTGCAAATAGAATGTTTTAGGAGACTGGGGCGGCACTTAGGGGGAGGGAGAGGCTGTTGTAGGGGGGGGGGGGAGAAGGGAGAAGCTGTTGTGGAGGGGGAGGAGAGAGCTGTTGTGGAGGGGGAGGAGGGAGCTGTTGTATAGGGGGGAAGGAGGGAGCTGTTGTGGAGGGGGAGGAGGGAGAGGGTGTTGTGGAGGAGGGAGAAGCTGTTGTGGAGGGTAGAATTAGCCTAAGCTACTCTATCGCTTTGAGATGTATTTCTTTCTTATATCAATAAACATACTTGAACTTGAACTTGTCTACCTCCTCCCTGGTTGAGGCTTAATTTTCAACAAAAAGAGTACCAAGTTCTTATTGCAATACCTAACAAAGGAAGTGCGGTGTTAAGTACTAGTATTAGATTATAATTTGATATCTAGTTTCGATGTGTATGCTATCGGCGGCTTGGCGCAGTCTCTGGTTGACAGCATGTGCCATCTCCGGCCCTTGCGAGGATCCTAGTCATATAAGAAAAGACAAAAGCACTACTACACTAGCAAGTCGTTCGGTCAATCAAGTTATAACCTTTGGGTATGACTATTGACCGGATGGGTGACTGCGCGAACAACTTTATACTTAGTTGTGGATACCTCACTAAATCTAACGGGCTTCGTGTCCCCAAGTTTAGTTCATTTATTATGCACCCCATACCCATCTTGTGGGCGGTAGTGGAAAGGGTTACAGAGGCAATATCTCATATTTCAGAAAAATATCACCAAAGCCGGGGACATTTCATACATTGTTTTTTAATTTTGTCCCGAACCCCCCCCCACCTCTCCATTCAAAAAATAATTCGTAATAAAAAGAGCAAAACTATTATGTACGAATTTGATGAAGGTGGCATACTGTTCGCAGAGCGGCATGCGGATAAATGGAGGGATTCATCATTATACTAGTTCTGCGGTTATCTTGAGGTTATCTTGAGATGATTTCGGGGCTTTTAGTGTCCCCGCGGCCCGGTCCTCGACCAGGCCTCCACCCCCAGGAAGCAGCCCGTGACAGCTGACTAACACCCAGGTACCTATTTTACTGCTAGGTAACAGGGGCATAGGGTGAAAGAAACTCTGCCCATTGTTTCTCTCTGGCGCCCGGGATCGAACCTGGGACCACAGGATCACAAGCCCAGTGTGCTGTCCGCTCGGCCGACCGGTGATAGTGAGCTTATTCCCTGAGGAAGTATGTGTGAACGTTAGCTCATGAGCATCTCAGTTCGAAGACTCAACTGTGCAATCAAACAAGTACGTGTTGACGAGGCTGGGCACGCATTGCCTTAATCAGCATCAAAACATTCAGTGTGGCTCAAACTTTCATATTATGTGCTCGAGATTTTTCTGAACATGTTTAGACCACAAATTGTTACAAATTATAAACTTTACATTCGACCATTTAGTGAAGGCTGAAGGGGAGAGGTGAAGTAAGGGAGAATCCACAGTGGGCAGGTCAGAGACGTCACAATTACGAATCCACAGTGGGCAGGTCAGAGACGTCACAATAACGAATCCACAGTGGGCAGGTCAGAGACGTCACAATTACGAATCCACAGTGGGCAGGTCAGAGACGTCACAATAACGAATCCACAGTGGGCAGGTCAGAGACGTCAATAACGAATCCACAGTGGGCAGGTCAGAGACGTCACACGAATCCACAGTAGGCAGGTCAGAGACGTCACAATAACGAATCCAGAGTGGGCAGTCGAGGCAGGTCAGAGACGTCACAATTACGAATCCACAGTGGGCAGGTCAGAGACGTCACAATTACGAATCCACAGTAGGCAGGTCAGAGAGACGTCACAATTACGAATCCACAGTAGGCAGGTCAGAGAGACGTCACAATTACGAATCCACAGTAGGCAGGTCAGAGACGTCACAATAACTAATCAGTATCCAGGTAACAAAACTGCCAGGACAATCTATGGTCTTTGATCCCTATTAATGATACGAAAGGGAGGGAAATACCCGAAGACAGCGCCTAGCCATTACGAATATATAGCTTTGATCCCCATTAATGATACAGAAATGACTAAATAACTCTGCTCTTATCATAAAAGCCAAATTTTCTTTATTTGAGATTATATCCAAATTCTCGAAAAGGACGCCAGCTTAACTTTCTTTTTTTCTGAATTGGGATCTATAAATCTTTGCAATTTTTGGGTCGTTAATTCATTTAATAATGGCAGCTTTTATCAGTGAAATCGAGATGATTGCCAGTAATATGGCCATCTCATCTTCCCACGCTCACGTATTTGGAGAAAGACAAGTTCGCGAGACCTTTGTCATACTTTCACAGGAAGCCTCAAAGACTTGAAAGCATAAATCAGAAAGAGCACGTCTACGCGTGTCAATGAACTCAAAATATAAAATAAATATATAAAGGGAGTAAAAAGAGGACGGGTGCTTCTTCACTGGGCTGTCACGAGCTCATAGTCCATCTGAATTTGTGAGAATGGAGGTGACTGGCGGGTTTAGTGACAAACGTACAATCAGTACAATCAGGAAGGTACAATAAGTCGCCATTCTAGATTTTATGGTAATCCTGACAATTGACTATTTTACGTTAAACTTTTTTAATAAAAAATATTTCATATTAAGAAAAAAAGATAGTTTCTCATGGACTAAGCTTCGCAACACTTGGGTAATACTTTAAAGGGAATAGTGAAAGTATCAAGACACTATAATTGGCTGGTATAAGAGGTCGGAAAAAGTTGAAATTTCCCGCGAACGACAGAGCCTACACCTGAGTTGCCACACTCTCCACCCAGACACACCTCAGTGCGAAACAGTGCAAGTGTGAGAACTTATAATTAAGAATTTAGCTCTTGACGACAATTGAAAATACTGTAACCCTTTTCCAACGGGGTATGGTCAAATCGTACACAACGAGACAGTTTCGACAAAGCTTGTTTTCGGATTGTCAAAACCGTATACAACGTTAGGTTAGGATGTATTAAGCTCGGTTGGGTAAGGTTAAGTTGGATAAAGTTAGGTAAATCTTAAAATACATTGGTGAACCGTCTTGTAGACGATGTGACTTGTATCCTTTCCAACTACTTGGTGGTTAACTACTGTGTATCTTACACGTTAGGTTTACAATAGTCCCTCGCCTACACCTATGTGCCGAGTAATTCTGTCTGGAACTATTACTGTTCTATTATAGAAAGCTAGCGTTCTGAAGATATGGAGTGAGATATAAAGACTGTATTTATATCGATAACAGCGAGAGTAATAATTGGTAGAGTGTTTTAGAGGTGAGTTTTTTAAATGGGACGGCTGCGTGCATCTGGAAAACGCTGAGCGGGGATGAGGCTGCAGGAGGGTAGAACACCCTTAAGCTACTCTATCCTTTTGGGTCCAATCACTTGGACTGGATGGTAGAGCAACGGTCTCGCTTCTTGGAGGTCAGTGTTCAATCGTCCAAGTACTTGGGCACCATTCCTTTCCTCCGTCCTATCCTAAATTCTTATCCTTACATCTCTTCTAAGTGTTATATAGTCGTAATGGCTTAGGTAATTTCTCTTGACAATTAACTCTATCCTATTTGGATATATTTTATCTCAATAAACTTACTTTAAACATGAACTGAGGAGGTTCTACACCCCCAGGAACACCCACCCCAGAGACACCCTCCATCCACCCCATTAACACTGACCATTAAAGTGCTTCACTGAGTTAGTCACGAGCGCATACTCTTTGCGAATCACTGGACGGGAAGTGCCGCGAAGTGTGAATATCATCATCTTCCAGTTTCCAGTTGCTCTTCTGGAGTGTTCCGGTCGTTTATGTTACATTTTCCAGTCCACAGCCTCAATGTTGTGGTTTGTTTAACACCACTGATCAAGTGGATCAGTGCGCACGCCATGTGTGCATACCAGGTGTGTGTGTGTGTGTGTGTGTGTGTGTGTGTGTGTGTGTGTGTGTGTGTGTGTGTGTGTGTGTGTGTGTACTCATCTAGTTCTCACCTAGTTGTGCTTGCGGGGGTTGAGCTCTGGCTCTTTGGTCCCGCCTCTCAACCGTCAATCAACAGGTGGATTGTGTGTGTGTGTGTGTGTGTGTGTGTGTGTGTGTGTGTGTGTGTGTGTGTGTGTGTGTGTGTGTGTGTGTGTGTGTGTGTGTGTGAGGTGTAATTCTCTAACTTATCGCGGTATGTATTAGATATAATTTAGTGTCTTGGCAAGTGGGCCAGAAAGCACCTACATGTCTACTAACGAAACCTGAAAATCTTTCTTCAACCATGGCTACTGAGTTTACATTTATTAAACACCTTATGAGCTCCGAAGCGCTATGAAGCCGACTGTAACAATAATAAACCGAGAGGTTACGAAGTTTCTAAGTTTGTAAACTGTTTAATAAACGCAAAGTAAGCCGCTATGATCGAGGAAGGATGTACAGGTTCCTGAGCCTTTTGGGTTCTATCATATCTACACTTAAAACTGTGTATGGAGTCTCCCTCCACCACATCACTTCCTAGTGCATTAATATGTGTGTGTGTGTGTGTGTACTCACCTAGTTGTGCTTGCGGGGGTTGAGCTCTGACTCTTTGGTCCTGCCTCTCAACCGTCAATCAACGGGTGTACAGGTTCCTGAGCCTATTGGGCTCTATCATATCTACACTTGAAACTGTGTATGGAGTCAGCCTCCACCACATTACTTCCTAATGTATGTGTGTGTGTGTGTGTGTGTGTGTGTGTGTGTGTGTGTGTGTGTGTGTGTGTGTGTGTGTGTGTGTGTGTGTGTGTGTGTGTGAGTGAGTGTGTGTGCGTGTGTGACGCACGAGAGAGAGCCAGAAGCCTCGCCCAGCTGCAGCGGTATCAGGAGTAATTTGCTGTAATAGTCGACAACGGCCGTGTATTGAGGCGGAAACTTGTGGACGACAATACATTTACCCAAAAAAGAGCCCATCCTCCAAAAATAATAAAAGACTTATAGCAACTATTTA